GTGTCTGTCTATCTGTCTCACTCTTTCTCTCTCTCAAATAAAAAAAAATCTGGCAACAATGAGGAGAAAAGACTGAAGAGGGGCTGCAACAGATGTGAGATAGTCACTACTAGAATAGTCCAGGTGAATAGAATGGTAAGGAATGCTCAGTATCCTGGGCATTGTTCTGAATGTTGTGTGTGTGTTTATCCATTTAATTCTTACACAAATCCTGTGAGACAGGTTCTGTTCTTACACCCATTTTACAAATGAAAATTGAAGCACCCCAAAGTCTAATTCCAGAGGGCACCCTCTTGACCACTCTATGACGTTGCCTGCAGGTGGTAATAAAAAAATGGAGACAAGTAGATGGGTTCAAAAGCTTTTGGGAAGTAAAATTAATAAGACAAAGTGTTCCAGCAACCATACAAGGTCATTGGAAGAACATCAGGTTCAGAAGGGGTTATAAATTTGCCTTTGTAGATGTTGAGTTTGATGGGTATATAAGAAAATCAAGAGGAGGTACTGAGAAAATCACTATCTTAAGAGACAGAAATGGGGCCCCACTGGTGAAGAGAGGGTATTGAAATCACAAATAGGATTGCCTCCCCGGAAATTCTGATATTTAATTGAAGGATCAGCCTGCAAGTGAGATGAAGGTGTGGCCAGACGGACAGGATTAAAACCAGTAAAGCCAGAAGTCAGTATCATTACATCCAAAGGAAAAGAATGGGAGGGATTCCTTTTAGGGAAGGGATGAGCAACCACGAGGGAAGGTAAAGTTGAGAACTGGAAAATGTCCTTCAAATGTTATATCAGGGGTTATAGAGATAACTACTTAGAGAAGTCTGGTGTGAAGTGAAGAGAGGAGTTGCTGGCAGCTGAGAGGGTAGAAAAGGAAGTCCTTTCTTTCTCTCTTTCTTTCAAGACAGAATATATTTAATGAAAAATTTTTAATGTTTTTGAGAATGATCCAATTGATAGTGACCGAATATATAAAAGAAATAATTGACAGTGTTAATTCACTGAAAAGATAGGAAAATAGGACCCAATGCACAGGAAGAGCTCTGTCCTCTAATGTATTGGCTGGGCAAGTTCTGTACAAAAGTGAGTGGATTCCAGGCTGAGGATTCCACTTGCTCTGGGAAATAAGATGCACAGTAGCTGCCTGGCTGGGGAGCATAACCAAGGGTACAGGACTACTACCTCTATGCTCACATATTTTCTGTTCTCATCAGACTTGTTTAATCAAAATGGTCCCCAAATTGGCTTATCTCAGTTGTCTTGGATATTGTAAATACATAATTAAATATTACAATGAAGTATGAGTGTGAAAAAAGGACTGCTGTTTCTATGAAAACTTAGTTGAAGGTTTTGGGAAAATTTGATAAAGGCAAGATGCTAAAAATTCCTGCACATCTAGGAATGAGTGAGGCAATTGTAAAAGATGGAAAAATACAAAAAAAAAAAATCTTGGCTCTGCAAGATTCTATTCTTGTTCCAATTTTAAAATAGGAGATCACAGAATTATGTTTGACTTTTACAAAGAAAGTAAGATTGAACTCTAATGGGTCTATATTCAGTTTTTGGGTTTTTTTGTTTTTTTTTTTTAAAAAAAAGCTTTGGCCTTACCTCAGTGCAGAATGAACATATACCTTTCCATGGCTTCCCTGTTCAACTGACCTTTTCAATGGACTGAGCAACTTCTGGACTAAGCTGTCATTAAGAAGGGTTTTATGGTGACAAAGGTGAATAAAAAGTAAGGAAAGAAGAGAGGGAGATTAAGTTATGTACTGCCTACTATATAGTAAGGAATTTGCTACTTGACAGGAATATTAAAAAATTTACTCCTTATAGCAAACCTAGATATTATCATTTCCATTTAGCAGAGCAAGAAACAGTGAGGTTAAATAAATTGCCAACTACCAAGTGACAGAACTTGGATAGGAATTCAGTTTTCCTGGCCTTTCTCCTCAGATCTAGATTGGCCCTTTCCACAAGTTTTACATGCACCTGGACTTATTCTCAAACATGTCCCAACGTCATGTCCATCAGCCATCCATCAATGATTCATCCTTGTCCTTTACCTCCCATATCTAATCAATCACCAAACCCTGACAAATTGACTTCCATCAATATCTATTCAATTTGTCCTCATTGCCACCAGTCTTGCACAGATTCACATCTTTTGTATGGACAACTACAAATTTCCTGTTGCCACATTTCTTAAACTCAGATCTGAGCAATGTCATCCTTCAACATGAGGTCTGTCCAGAAGGTATCCAGCCACATAATATGAAAAATAGAGACATTACTGAAGAAGATATGAGATACAAGAAACATTGTACACAGGACAATGATGCCTTAGTCCCCTTCAAAGTAGGCACCTTGGGACCTCACACCGTTCTCCCAATTGCCATCAGCTGCCCTGTTATATATTCCTGAATCTCATGCATGGTCTGAAATCTCTTCACTGTTAATGGTGATTTTAGTTTTGTGAAAAGTCAGAAGTCACAGGGTGTGAAATCTGGGCTGTAGCGGGGCTGAGTCACCTGGGTGATTTGATGTTTCGCAAAAACACTCTGCTCGAGCATGAGCAGGCGTGTTGTCATGATGAAGCTGCCAATCACCAGTTGCCCATAGCTGTGGCCTTCTGAATCACCCAAATAATTTCTGTGGAGGAATGTTCAAGCTTAATGCAGATTTGTTGCTTTATTTGCTCAGTTATTTTCAATGTGATGACCACAAAGTACACGTGCTCACTCAACAGCATCTATTGCCCCCCCTGACTAGTACAGTGAAATCATCATTGTTCATGCACGTGAATTCCAGTTCACTCTCCTTGGCTACCAGGTTATATACATGTCGCACAAACTGTTCTCATTATATTAATAATGGCTGGACTTTTTCCAGAACACTTGGCTCTTTAAGTTCATTCTTCATTTCACTTCTAGCACCTTACCTCCATTTATGTCCCTGGTTCTCTTTCAAGTCCTCAATGTCTTTAATGGCCTGTTTTTCTTTTATCACCCTCCTAAATTTTGATGCCTCTCAAGGGCCACTCCTTGAGTCTTTAATTCTAGCCTCTCCCAGCAAATCCTTTTTTTTTTTTTTGGCCAATAGTTTCAACTATATTCACATACAGATGCTCACCAAATCTATTTTTACCTATGCCCCTCATGGCATACCCAAAACTGGACTCTCATCTTCAATCTCCCTGTAACCAACCTCAAACTTACTTCTTCTACATTCATTCCTCAGTGTTATCAATCTCAAATTTCAATGTTAAAATCATCCTTTACCTATACTTCTCCTTCACTTGCCTCCACAATCCAATCTCAAATCTTGTGGATTTTTCATGTCTTCAAATTTCCCATGGTTGTCACTCATTTCCAGCCCGCCACTAGCTATTTTCTTGTTTGGACTACAGTGAAAGACACTCTATTTCCACTGAGCCTGCAAGTCAATCCTCCTTGCTGCAGTTACCATGAGCTTGCTAAGCCATCTACAACTAGTCCAGATGCCTGCAAGGATAACCACTCAATATGTTAAACAAGTGAATCAATGTTCTCACTCAATTTTAAATATTTCAATGCTCTCCATCACAAATGGCATGCACTTCAAAGCCTTTGCTATTGCTTGTCTTTTGTGACCTAGATCTCTACTTTTCCAGCCTCAAACCATTGTTCCCCATAACCACTATTCCAGGAATAACCAAATATCTGATAACCAACCAACCACTTCTCCAGACGAGTCACTTTCCAATGACTCTGACTTTGTACATGCTCTTTCTTCTGTCTGGAATCCTCTTCTCATTCTCTACCAGGAAGACTCCTACTTATTCCTTTAAGATTTTTAGAGCTCTTGCTGTTCTTCCGTTTTCTCTGTCCACCCACCCCCAAAGTTCTCCATAAATATCATTTTTAAGATTGAGTATTTATGTTTACCTAACAATCACTGGCCTATAACTAACTAACACTGGCCTATAGAGCTGTGGAGGTGGGGGTTGGGTAGGCAGGTTTTAAAGAAAACATTCTCAGAGCTCCCCAACAACATTTCTTTCATTTTCAGGAAACTCCTCCCTCAAGGGTCACACTTGATATCCCAGGCCTTGAGATCAGTTCTCCAAGTCCCTGACCTGGTCCCAGGGTCATTGTCATTTTCTCCAACCCCAAGCAGCTTATATTAGTGGCCATGCCAACAGCCCACACAATACCCTAGAATGAGTCACAGTTCTGATTCCCCTGCTCTATGGCTGCAGTCACTGCTCAGAATTGTTTCACCTCTAGAACCCTAGACTCCACTCCAAACTTCCTTCTGTTCATTATACACAAACATCACACTCATTTTTATCTTAATCTCTACCCCTTCCCATTCACCCAATTTATCAGTGCCTTAATGATCAGACTTCTCTTACAATCCAGCCCAAATCCCAGTGCAATCTCTAATGACTTTGCCCTAATTTAGACACTCCTACCATTACAAAGCCTGATGCTGACACAATCCACTGATTCCCATCCTATGTTCTTGGCAGCTTGAGCACTGCTGGAGAAAAAGCAAAAGTTGGCCCCCAGCCACTGCAACTAATGGTTTCCTATCTCAAACTCGTTTTCAAAGACATTCCTTAACCATTTTTCTTGACTTTGGTTGCTGTTCTCATACAGTCCTCCTGGTGGTTAATACTAACAAAAATAGAAGACATGATCTGTTATACAGAGTATCAAAATACTGGATAAAGTATAAAAAGAAACAAAAAGGCCAAACATGGTAAATGTAATTTAGTTCTAATACTATATGTCTTTCAGGTTCTAAGTCAATTACTTTCATGGCACTCAGAATACTATTACTATCTTGTCTTTATTCCTAGAGATTTTTGGAGTCTGAAAAAAGGCAGAAAACTATACTTGAACAATAAAAAAAAGAAAAAAGTGAGGTGAAAGATGGATTGTTGGGAAAAAATGACTGCTTTTAGATCTCTCCCTTCATATTTATATTCTATCAATGAAATATACAGAACTTTGTATGTTTTCATGTTAATTTATTCTGTGCAGTTTAAAGTAAAAGTTAAAACATCATATAAACAAACCACAGAAAGTTTAGATATAGTATTGACCAGATTTAAAACAAAAACAATGAATGATCACTTACACACATTCCTCATCTCTAATTTTACATCTTATTATACAAAGATACTATTAACATACACAATTTTAATTCCTTATAAACCTATTTATCAAGCAGCAAGATGACAATGCATCATAGCACAGCACAGAATGTTTCCTTTAGAAACCACAGCAGCAGTATTTGGTGAGTGGTTATGCATAGAACTAACTTGGAGGGTCATGTTAAACATTGGTCATAAAACAGGCAGCACACATTAACAAATGGAAAATGTAACTTCTATTAAAATGTTACTCTTTATGCTTTAAGTTAAAAGCTATAAGATACTTCAGATGCAGATAATACAAGGTGCTTTAATTCTAGACACCATAACAAAATACTATTCCATTAGCTGCTTCAGTCTGTAACCTTTGAGTACTATTCATGGCTTTTTAAAGTCAACTTCAAATATAAAATTTTATTAGTTAAAATCTAAAGTTACATTGGTTACACATCACATTAAAACAAAACTTTTCAGAAAAACTGACTTCAAAAAATACTGTATTGTTGACTTAAAATAATTTTAAAAAATGTTGCTTAAAAGTAAAAAAACACTACTTTCAAATCACTTAACACATTTCCATTTAAAATGTCATATTTTTGAAACCATTATTTAATATTTTCCAACTTGCAACAAAATAACAGTTTGAAGCTATTATTTCACCTAATAATATCTAAAGAAATGGGTCAGCACACCTGTGAATTGGCTATTCACCAAATAGCATACTTGTTTCCACCATGAAAACAATGCTACAAAATCCACTGGATGAATTCTATTTTTAACTTGATGTAAATATTAAAAACCTCATATAACAGTGCTACACAAATATTTAGTGTTGTGTTTTTTTGGCATTTAAATCAGAGTAATGCTACCAACACATTTGATAATGGCAATTTTCACAAGAGTTTCAGAGGCAAAGAGAAAGACTTAGGAATGGTTAGTCACGAAGGAAATGAAACAACCTACCAGTCCTCAATTTTAGAATTATTCCTCAAAAATGGCACACTTGAACATCATTGTTAATGAGCATTTGGACACGACTCATACTTACATGTGTTTTTAATGCTCAGAGCCTTATAAAGTTTTAAATTAACCACAGGCTAGTCCATCTTCTACTGAGAAACTTAAAATGCCTTTAATGATGTTAAGTTCAGTTACAAAAGCTCTAAAACAAAACAAAAACAAAAGACATCGAAACACTATATCACACAAATAATTCTGTGTTAACAACTATTTCTCTTGCCTTTGAAATATGTACTATGGTGTGCATCTTGGGAGGAGTACAGAGTAAGAAAAAAGTTTTAAACAAAGGAATTAGTTTATAGAATTTTCATATTGGCATCAGTGATTTCTTTTAACTCTCCTGAGTTAAAAGATGGTAGGGTATGAGCTATTAATATGCTTTTGAGTATGTTACCCAAATAAGTAAAGCAGAACATCTTTAAAATTCCATTTGAAAAGACATCCTCGAAGCATAAATATTAATAAATAATATGAGCACATGCACCTTTACATGGATTAATGTAATTTGTGGATGGCGCTTATAGGTTTTTGGGGGGTTACATCGCCCATCATTCTTTAATACTGATACAATATGGAAGCTCTCCAGCTACCAAAATTTGTCAGCAACTATTGTTATCTAAACCTAAGATATCCATTATAAATAGAATCCACAGTTCAAAATACTAGACAATGAAAGATCTAATTTAATCCTCCCAGTACCAAGAAGCTTTTTAGGCTCTTTTCCCCCCCTAAATGATGATCATTTTAATGTGATATTTAGCTAGTAGGAAGCACTAAAATTAATGCTTGAAATTTGTGTCATTGTTTTTTTAATCCCTACAAGTCACACAAGAATAGAAAATTACATCCAATAAGGAAATGAAGACAGAAAGATTATGCCCCATTCTCAGCTGCTGGGGATCTTCTGTAGCAAATATTGAAAAGTAAAGTTATGCTCTATAAAGTCCCCTTTTGTACACACAAAAGGCTACAATAACAGTAGAAGCGTGCATCACAAGTACCACTTGGGGCAGAGCAAGTGAACTGCTAATGAGTAACAAACAAAACTATCACCATGAAGTTTGAGGTACCAAACACAATTACACACCATAGTAAAGGTGATACTCTGTGATGACTAGTTCTTTAGAAACAAAGTTTAAAAACATAAAAAGAACTTGAATGAATAAAATAAGCTGGCTTTGCAATTCGCTCTTGTACAAAGCAGGTAACACTAAACAGGAAGGGTCTTTAATCCATATCTCTTCTCCAGTAAATACTCAGTCCAAAGTTCAGTGAAGACAAACATGGGAACCTGGCAAGAGTCATTTTACAGTGAAGCAGGCATTTTCACCCACTCTATTTTTCTCAACACCCGGTTTCCCTGAGATCTTGTCACTGAATTGCTGTTTGTGAGGAAGTATTTTCTCCACACCTGCCTTGAGTATGAAGTCCTCCCATACAAAAGGAGTAACTAATCCTACTCTTCCTAATATAGAAGTTCTTAGATTCCTAAGTTATTAAAGTCTTAAGTAGGCTGCCAAAAAAAAAAAGTGTCTCATGAAGAGTAACTATTTTAACAACATTATAAGAATCAGAATTAAGTTAGCAATAATTGCTATTCTAGGAAAAAATAAATTTATAAACTACTTTTTAATCAATCTGAGATACATATGTATCACTAAGAAAAAACACAGGCAATTAAACTATGACATAATGCTTTCATATCATGTATAATAGAATGTTTGTATTTATTGAAAGAGCTTTTCAGAGTTAAACAGACTTTTTATCACGTCAGTCTTGTGCATACATAAAGTGTTGTGAAATCAACTGCTGAAGTTATAACTCTAACTTCCCATTACGAGACCCAGCTCTGCTGAATCCCTTCATGAATCAGTCATCAATACCTGCATTCCTCCCCACAACCCCACCCTGGATGCCAAGAGCACTGGTGATACACCATTTCTCGAAAGAGTGTTCTACCATTGCTTAATGTCAGAAGGAACCTTTGGATGAAACAGTGTTTGACACCTTGACGACAGTCCTCAACACACGAATTGATTGCACTCATTGCTTTGAATTGTGTTTCATCTATTCCAAGGGTCTTGGCAATTTCTCCCAACTTCAACTGCTTCACTCGGCGTGTGATAGGCAATTCTTTTGCTTATGTCTCAGTGACAAAATGTAGTACAGCTTTATCTACTTGTGGGTATCTTCCCTTCTTAGGGCCTAGAAAGAGCACTCTGTTGCTGCTTTACAATAAAATACGAAATTGGGGTCATTCCTTCAGCAACAGATATTTGCTTCACTGCTCTGTTTCCATGCTTTTCTGCATACACAATAACTTTTCATTTCGGTGTTGAATCAAAGTGTAGTCTTTTAGAAGACATTTTAAAATGCCAATTAAATCTGACACATTTGATATCAACAACACAGTGATGATGCTATGACAAGCTGTAAGTCCACACACACACACAAGCTAAGATAATTACATCGACTATCACCTGGGTGACAATAATGGTGAGTTACATCCCAATTTCAATGTGTGTGGGGGAGAAAGTACATTATAGAACTAAAAAATATACTTTTCAAGCCTGTAATGTTTAACAGATTCACACAAGTGCAAAAAGAAAAATAAACCCAAGAGCCATTGTATATAAGTAAAAGCTAGTAAAGCAAAAGATAATCTTTAAGATGAAATTTGTAACATCCGATTTGGTTTTAATTCCCTTTATTTTCATATGGCTTACATGTAAATCTTTTTTTTCTCAATTGGACTTGAAATCCAATAACAAATGTTCTTCAATATTTTAGCAATTGCAAAACCAAGTCATTAAAGACAGAGGCTCCAGACTGCCCTTCATCTTTCACTAACACAGGATGACAGTTGGGGTCAGTGGCCTTCATCAGCAGGTGCCCTCCTTTGGCGAGCAGATCTGATCCTGTGTGGAGACAATGAAGTATCCTCTTCTGCTTCAGACCCTGAAGGCTCATGATCTCCTTCCTGGGATCCTGTGTCTCCCACCAGTTCCCGCAGAAACTTGAATTTTGATAAAAAAAGGTGCCATACAAAATACCAACCTAAAGAAAGATAAAAACATTAAGAATAATTATTACAGTTATCAGTTGACAATATTCCAGTTAACTTCTGGGAGTATATTATAACACAGTATGTATAATATAAATAAATATATATGTGATTTGAAATATGTATATATTTATATAACAAACATTTACTAAGCATTTACTATGGACTATGAACAAGGCATAAGGATAAATCTAGATTTATAAAGGCATGGAAAAAAGAGTTCTGTCTTTACAGAATTTAGAATCCAAGCTTGGTGCATCTACATTAAAATTACAATGAGTTTATGATACCTAAGTAAAATTATTTATTATACATATTAAAATCAATTTTTCTAAGAGGGAAAGGGAGGGAGAAAGAAGGAAACACTGATGGGTTGCTTCTCGTATACATCTCTACCAGTGACTGAACCTAAAACCTAGGCATGTGCCTTGACCAGAAATTGAACCAGCTATCTTTCACTTTGCAGGACAATGACCAACCAACTAAGCCACACTGATCAGGGCTAAAATCAAAATTTTGAGAGCATTTTTCTTGAGAAGAAAGAATCCCTTTACTATTTACTTGGAAATTCATACTTTAATACTAATATTTACTAAAAGCAAGTTTTCTCTTCAGTAAGAACAAAGAACATTAAATAGCAAGAATCAACTGCTCTATGGTGAAAACTTCTCATTAGGATCAAGCTACTCATAAGTTCCTAGAAAAAACAAATTCTCACAGAAAATTAATATATTTTCTTTAATTACATGATGAAAGAATAAAGCCAGAGCACTGGTACCTTAAGTTCAAGATTTTAAAAATATAGTATTTTCATGTCAACATTATAAAAAAGTTTGAATAACTATCCTTAAAAAAATTACTAATCAAATTTTGCTTATTTTTGCAGAAGTTTACAAAATTTTAGAAGGCTTTAATAAGAGAAAACAATAAAGGAGCACACTGACCAAAACCTGAACTGGTTGCTCTAATGTTAAGAGCATAAATTAAATAAAATCAACCACTGTAACAAATTTTTGAACGTTAGCATGCTTTCTTTAAACTCTCTAATTTCATAGAAAAGCAAAAGACCACGGCATATTCTGATAACTGGCATTTTATTAAAATAAAATCCAAACAACTTTTCTAACTCCAGCATTATAATAGGCTAGGATGAATGACCAACTTTAAGGAAGTTTCTAACTTTACTTGTTTTTTCTTACAGTCTCTGAAAAAACTAAAGTATTAATAAACTCCTTGGTACTAAAAGGCTAACTTCAGACTAATTTAACTCATTTCTCAAGTTTTTGCATTCCTTTAAGCTTTCATACTAACTGAACCATACCACAAATATACATATCTTGGTCAACTAACTACGTGCTTGGGTAAGGCACCTAATTTTGTAAAATAGTAAGTATTTTAATGACATTCCAAACTAGCACACTCTCTCTTCACCCAAAATTCTTTGTAAAAATAGGCACAGCGTTAATGGAAAGAACACTGGAGAAGGAGTCAGGAGTCTCAGTTCTGACAGTAGATTTAAACAACTATTGTGAGGAAAAACTGAGATGGTATGGAAAAGGGCTAAGGGGTCTGGCATTTGTAAATGCTCAGCGGACATGAGCTTTGGTTGTCCCCTGGGCAGTGGGATCTACTTTGTTGTTAACTAACTTAAAAAAAATATTAATTGAGATACAACTCAAAACCATAAAATATGCCCTTTTAAAGTGTATAATACAGTGGGTTTTACTATATTCACAAGGTTGTACAACCATCACCGTTTTCTAACTCCATTAGCAGTTATTCCGTATTTCCTCCTTCCCCCAGCTCCTGGCAACCACTAGTCAACTTTTCTATCTCTATGGATTTGCCTACAGTGAGCGACCCACATGCAAGCATACTTTACTTTATTGGGCTTTGCAGATGTTACATTTTTTACAAATTTAAAGCTGTGTGGCAACCCTGCACCAAGCAAGTTTATTGGTACCATTTTCTAACACCATTTGCTTACTTCATGTCTCCATGTCATATTTTGATAATTCTCACAATATTTTAGGCTAACACTTATGGTGATCTGTGATGTTACTGTGGTAATTGTTTTGGGGAGTCACAAACTATGCCTATATAAGATGGCAAATCTAATCGATAAATTTGTGTGTGTTTCTCACTGCTCCACCAATCAGCTGTTTCCCCACCTCTCTTTTCTCAGGCTTCCCTATTTGCTGAGACACAACAATACTTAAATTAGGCCAATTAATAATCGTACAATAGCCTGTAAGTATTCAAGTGAAAGAAAGAGCAGCACATCTCTCTATTATTTTTATTTATTGATTTTAATAAGAGAGGAGAGAAAGAAAAACATCAATTTGTTGTTCCTCTTATTATGCAGTCATTGGTTGATTCTTGTATGTGCCCTGACTGGGGATCAAACCCACAACCTGGGTGTATCAAGACAACACTCTATAACCAACTCAGCTAACCCAGCCAGTGCCACACCCCTCACTTTATATCAGAAGCTAAAAGTGATTAAGCTTAATGAGGAAGACTTGTCAAAAGCCAACACAGGCCAAAAGCTATGCCTATAGTGCCAGCTAGCCAAGCTGTAAATGCAAAGAAAGAGTTCTTTTTTTTTAAATTTTATTTTAATCATTCTTCAAGTACAGTTTTCTCCCACTTATTCCCATTCCAGCCCACCCACCCAACCCTTCCCTCTCCCCAGCCCCATTACCCCCCACCCCTAGTTTTTGTCCATGTGTCCTCCAAATTTGTTCCTGTAAACCCTACCCATTCCCCCCTGAAATTCCCTCTTCTCTCCCCTCTGGTCACTGTCAGTCTGTCCCCTATTTCAGTGTCTTTGGTTATATTTTGCTTGTTTCTTTGTTTTGTTGTTTAGGTTCCTGCTAAAGGTGATATCATGTGGTATTTGTCTTTCACTGCCTGGCTTGTTTCGCTTAGCATAATGCTTTCCAGGCAAAGAAAGAGTTCTTGAAGGAAAGTAAAAGTGCAACTCCACTGAACACACAAATAAGAAACCATAACAGCCATATTGCTGATATAGAGAATGTTTTAGTGGTCTGGATGGAAGATCGAACCAGACACAACATTCTCTTAAGTTGAAGCCTAAATCCAGAGCAAAGCCCTCACCTCAGTTCTGTGAAGGCTGAGAGAAGTAAGCTGCAGAAAAAAAGCAGAAGCTAGCAGAGGCTGGTTCATGAGGTTTAAGAAAAGAAGCTATCTCCACAACATAAAACATGAAGCAGCAAGTGCTGATATAGAAGCTATAGCAAGTTATCCAGATCTACCTAAGCTAACTAATGACCGTGACTACACTAAACAACAGATTTCCAATGCAGACAAACAGCCTCACCTTGGAAGATGATGCCATCTGGGACTTTCAGAGCTAGAAAGAAGTCAATGCCTGGCTTCAAAGGACAGGCTGATTCTCTTGTTATGGGCTAATGCAACTGGTGACTTTAAGTTGAAGCCAATGTGCATTTAGCATTCTAAAAATTCTATAGCCTTGAACAATATGCTAAATCTTACTCTGCCTGTGTTCTATAAATGGACAACAAAGTCTGAATGATAGCACATCTGTTAACATGGTTTACTAAATATTTCAAGCCCACTGTTGAGATGGCTTGAAAAAAGATTCCTTTTAAAACATTACTGCTCACTGACAATGCACTGGTCATCCAAGAGCTCTGAAGGAGATATGCAAGATTAATGTTTTGCCTGCTAACATTAACATCCATTCTGCAGCCAGTGGATCCAGGAGTAATTGTGACTTTCAAATCTTGTTTTTAAGAAATAGATTTTGTAAGACTATAGCTGCCATGCATGAAGATTCTCTGATGGATCTGGGCCAAGTAAATGGAAAACCTTCTGGAAAGGATTCACTATTCTAGATGCCATAAAGAACATTTGTGATTCATGGGAAGAGGACAAAATATCAACATTAACAGGAGTTTGGAAGAAGCTGATTTCAACCCTCGTGGATAACTTTGAGGGTTAAAAACTTCAGTGGAGGAAGTAACTGTAGATGTGGTAGAAATAGTAAGAGAACTAGAATTAGAAGCAGAACTTGCAGATGTGACTGAATTGTTGCAATCTCAGGGTAAAACTTTAATGGATGAAGAATTGTTTTAGGAGTAAACAAAGAAAGTGGTTTCTTCAGATGAAATCTGTTCCTGGTGAAGATGCTGTGATGACTGTTGAAAAGACAACAAAGAATTTAGAATATCACATGAACTTAGTTGGTAAAGCAGCAGCAAGTTTGAGAGGATTGACTTCCATTTTGAAAGAAGTTCTGCTATGGGTATAAAGCCATCCAACAGCATCAGATGCTATAAAGAAATTGATAAGAGGAATCAGTTGATGTGGCAAATTTTATTGTAATCTTAAGAAATTGCCATAGTTGTGGCCCCATGACTCAGTTGGATGGAATGTCATTCCATGCACTGCAAGGTTGTGGGTAGATTCCTGGTCAGGGCACATACCTAGGGTGCAGGTTCAATCCCTTGTCAGGGAGCAGACTGATGTTTTCTCAGTGTGTGTGTGTGTTTCTCTCTCTCTCTCTCTCTCTCTCTCTCTCTAAAACATATCCTCAGGTGAGGATTTAAAGAAAAAACAATATTGCCATAGCCACCCCGACTTTCAGTAACCTCTACCCTGTCACTCAGCAGCCTCAGATGACGGTCAGCATTTCTTAGCAATGAAGTATTTTTCAGTTAAGGTATATACATTGTTTTATTAGACATAATGCTATAATACACATAATAGACTACAGTATACTGTAAATATAAGTTTATATGTACCGGAAAACCAAAAAATTTGTGTCACTTGCTTTAATTCGATATTTACTTTAATGCAGTGGTCTGAAATCAAACCTGCGATATCTCTGCTATATGCCTGTAAATGAAATCACAATATATAGTATTTTGTGTCTGGCTTCTTTCACTTAGTATATATCTTCAAGGTTCTTCATCCATGTTGTTGCATGTATTGTTTCGTTCCTTTT